AAAATCTTACCATTGAATGTATTATGGTTGCATTATATTGTAGCCCAGAAGTGGTGAACGGGATCTCTTTCTTACATGGTGGATGTTACAGCATTCCTTTTGTTCTTTCATACTCCTCTTTTCCCTGTCAGTTCTCATCATGGCTCATGCCTGTTCATGAACTCTGGTGGTCATCTCTTCCTTGCTTTCCCCCGAGCACAGGTGTGAAGCCCTTTGAGTGTCTGACGTGCGGGGTGGCCTGGGCCGACGCGCGCTCCCTGAAGCGCCACGTGAGGACACACACCGGGGAGCGGCCGTACGTGTGCCCAGTGTGCAACGAGGCCTACATAGATGCCCGGACCCTGCGGAAGCACATGACCAAGTTCCACAGGGACTACATACCCTGCAAAATCATGCTGGAAAAAGATACTCTTCAGTTTCACAACCAGGGGACGCAGGTGGAGCATGCCATCAGCATTTTAGCAGCAGATGTGCAGGAGCAAGAAACCGAGATTAGTTTTGGCGCTGGTGAGGGCGAGACTGTGGTAGTGACAGGGGAGACGCTTGAAGCCATCGAAGCAGTTGCAGCTACTGAGGAATGTACATCAGTCTCTACTCTTTCTGACCAAAGCATCATGCAGGTGGTGAATTATGTATTGGCACAACAGCAAGGACAGAAAATGGCTGAAGGGACGCAGGCCATTGAAACTGTAGAAGTAGAAGTGGCCCATGTTACAACAACAGAGTCCATTTAGTGTATGAGACAGCATGAAGAGTGAGGTGTTACAATCTGTGAGAGGCAAGTATTGAATGGGTTATCTGGGGCTTTCAATTATGCCTGTTTTCAAACAGTTACTCCTCAATACTGAACATTGTGGTGACGAAATACTGCACCACACACTAGAGGGAAAAAGTTAAGATGCTCCAGTGTGGGCCAAGGCTTTGAAAGCTAAGACGTCTGTATTGACCATAACTGAAAGAAAAAAAAAGTTAGAATAATGTTTTTTGTGTCATGGAGTAAGTATCATGCTGTAACTTAAAATTTAAAAGAAAAAAAACATATAAAAAGGCTGCACTAAAAACTAGAAATGCACAGCTATCAGTAGCTTTCTTTTTTTGTTTTAATGTGCATTTCCTCAAGTTTGTGAGCAAATTACTTCTATTGGATTCTGTCTGTTTACTCCCCAAGACAAGGGGGTGTTAGAATGCTTTGTGCAGCATGTGCTTCATGTGACATGCAAAAAAACTGAGGCTTTTTTATTTTGGCAGAGGCACCATTGGCTGTTAGTGAATCCCAATTCGAAGAACTGACTTAAATTCCAGGTCAGTGGATGGCGGGTCCAAGGTGCAGCAAAACACTGTTAAAATGTTTTACACATAATGGGCAGGGATCTGCTGAAGGCTGAGGAAGTGGTTCTCCAAGATGATTGTGAATTCAAGTTGACCAGAGGACAGCGCACCACAGGGAGACTCCTTAGAGAAGTCAACTCCTTTTCATTTGTAAGGGAGGAGCTTTCCCTGCAGCCTCCGTGCACAGCCATGTTTAGGTCAATGTTTGGCTGTCTAAAGGAAGCTGTCGCCAGCACTGATGTCTGTACCCAAAGCAGGCAGCCTAATGATGGATGTTTCTAGTTTTGCTTTACATTTAATGTACAAACTCTCAAATAAAAAAGGTGCAGCAGCACACTTCTTTGGGAATGTAAACATGCCAAAGAAGTCCATCTAGTTACGATCTGATCTTGTAAGTAGGAGGAGCCGCCGTGCTAATTCCCAAATAGGACACATAGCAATATCAGGATAGAAAAACAGGAAAATCTTAGTATGGGGTAAAAATCAGATTTGTCTCAAAATTACCAATGTCTCTAGGAGACCCTATTACTGCTGCTGTAAGAAAATACTTCCAGGGCCAGTTAATTGCCCAGTGTTACACCACATAGATGGAAAAATCCTTACTAGGTGTTTCTGCAGCCAAGTGTGAATCACAGCCATGCTTGGCCCAAGTTTACATGTCCCTTATTTAATACCACCAACAGCGCACATCTTGATGTGTACAAGGTGTGGGTTCTTTTATTGTTGGTTGTTTGGGTTGTTTTTTAAGCAAGCAGATGTTTGTTGAGGTAACTGAAAGTGCTTTGCATATGAACAATCAGAACTGTCTTTAAATTATTCTGTCTATAGTGGTATCAAATATTTCCTCATTTGGACAGTGGCAAGATACCCAAGGAGCCAGAAACCTGTACTATTGCAGGGTAAACTTCATAAATAAAACAACATGCATATAATTCTGTGCTACCTGTGAAACAGATCCACTGAACAAAATTTAAGAAACCCTATGGCAAAGTAACCACTTCATTTGAATTAGTATTTCTACCTTTCATCTTATTTAACTATGTGAGTATCTGTCTACTAAGCTACAGAGTGGACTGTTCTTTTTATACTTTGCAATCCTGTAGATAAGCAGTTATTGAAAATTTTTCAGCAATATGTAGTTTGAATTCCTGTCTTGGATCCAAATTAATTTGTAGATGTCTATTTCAGGGTCTTCCTTCAGAAAAATAATGTAGTTATTTATACATCCTGCAGCCCTTTACAATTGTATTATTTTCTAATTACCAAATGGAATAAAACTAAAATTAATATTTAAAAAAAATACTGCTAGCTGTAACTTGAATTTTTTATGGTCAAGAATCTGGAGATAGCCATCCTGCTTAAAATTAAAATACTGCCATTATGATGAAAAAATATTTAAAAGAGCACTAGGTAAACTTTAAATTTACTTCAATGTTTTTATCCTACAAATTATTACTAAAGTGAAGAAATGTTCAAGGAAAAATAGCTGTAAATAATGCTAGAACATTATTTGTATATTTAGTGTGTTACCTTACAAAAAGAATATTACCAGCACCTTAGTTTAATCTTTGGTGCATTTATTTATTTGCCCAACCTATGGAAGAGGCAGAAGTGAATGTGAATTTCAGAGCCTTCTTATCCACTCTAAAAATGCTGTAACTGACTCAATAGACTGCTCTTTAAAAACAACAACCAAACAAACAAATCCCAAAAGGTTTTTTCCTAAACAAGGTTCAGCCAGGAATGTCAAAGCTGAATGATGTGCATCCCTTTCCTGACACGCTGTGCCTTACCTTTCCAGAACGGCGTGAGGTAAGTAGGGAGTGTCGCTTTTGGCTTTGCTGTTCCCACGTATGTGTTGCCTTACATTTTTCTTTAGACTTCAGCACTTAAGATGTTCACTACCCTTCTGCAATCTATTTGAAGTCAGACTGCAAATATGCAGTTGATATTTGATTTTTTTTAAATAAAGTTCATGAGAAGTGTCCATTTATTAAGTATTCCTGGTGAATTCCTGTACATAATTAATTTGATTTGTACATTCTGCTCTTTTTATTTAGTGTTAGATGTATAAAGTTATGGTTAATTCTGTCATCAAATAAACGGAGCTTTGCCATGAATTACTCTTTCAAGAAACTTTTTTTGGCAGATGAGGAGGAAGGGGTTGCAGAATTGTTTATTCCTCCTCAGTATTTCTTTCCATATATAGGCTAATGTCTGGTCTGAATAGTTCTAGGAAGGCCTGGTTTTTAATTTCTGCTTAAGGCTCAAAGAATTAACATGGATGAGGAAAGGAAACACACTGCCCTCCTGAATTTTGTCAGAACGTGGTTCTGCAAGAGCACAGTGCTAACAAAACAGCGTGTATATTGATACTGAAATCACTCTGGCTGCAAGGCCTCTTGCTGGGGGAGGCATCTGCTTGGCTCCCCGGCACCCGCTGTAACCGTTGTGGTTTGTGTCAGGTGGTGTTTCTCTTGACTTGGGTTTCTGTACAGCACTGGTACCCCAAGGCAAGCATCAGACAGCACTTCCACCTTGGCCTCTGCTCTGGGACGAATATTTGAGCAGGGGTTGTGGGGTGGAAATTGTCCTCCAGTGTCATCCTGGCTGAAGGATGAGCTGTACAGCTGCTCCTGGGCTGGGAACAGTGTGCTGTGCCTTTCCATTTGCTGTTACAGGAACTTTCAAGGCAACACCAATGGCGCAGAAAGGTTGATTACCTTTTGTGGTTCATCCTGATTCCTCAGGGAAGTGCTAAGGGAGCTTTTTAGTGTATTGGCTCTCTGTGAGCCCATGTAAGTAAAAAAGCAGGTATATAATTAAACAAAAACAGGTTTCAAAGGTTGAGTGCTGAAGGAGTAACGTAGCCTACTGTTGAATTACTACTCTTCCACAGGGATGCAACCATAGATGCAAAACAGCCACGTGATGTGTGGATAATTTCCCCCCCCCTTTGTTTCTACTTGAGCTAGAACTGTCATTCCTGAACCGTTAAAGCTAGAACCGAGCTAGAACCATTAAAGGAAGCATGGTGAATTTCTACAGCACTGGAGGGGTGTATATTATGGTAACATTCAGGAGCCAGTCTTAGAGCTGCTGCTGACAGCAGGGTGGAACCCAGCAGCTCTCAAGCAGTTCTTTACCAAGGCCTATTCTTGTGCAGAAGAGTTCCAGCTGCAGAAGGCAAGAGGCCCCTGGTCACTCTGTTGTCACCCTCAGGCCCAGAGCTGTTGGGGAACATGCTCACAAATCTAGTGTGACCTTGAAGGGGCTCTGCAGAAAGTAAGTTGGTCTTCCTCCCCTGGGAAAAGTTTTGTCCTAGGGGCAGTATTTTGCCTTACAGATGGTAACAGCATTGCTGAATGATTTGGTGCTTTTAGATGTGCAATAGTCCAAGCTCTTGTCATGGCTTTAAATTTTACACGTGAACAGGACTCTTAACAAGCATCGGAGTAACAAAAGCAAGGCACACCCTGAGACAGGCCCCAGTTTCACAACTGCCTATTACTGCAGTTCCAGACAGTGGCAGCTGGTCTGGTTGTGAACAGGGAGGGCCACCACAGTCACACTTCTTTCACAGAGGCACAACTGTGATTCTGTAACTACTGAGCATCAGCCAACATGGTTTGTGCGACTGCTATGTTTACTAATTATGGGAGGCTGGGGGAGAAAAAGAGAGATGTTTTTATTAGAACTTGCATTACCTTTACATTAACAAACTTGTGCTGCCAGGAAAACATCAACATATGCTCATGGCTTCAAGTTTCAGTGGAGCTCTTGCTCCATTTGTGCATTTGTCTCATCAGGAAATCCAATCCTAAAAACCAGATTTATGAACTACACCACAAGCTTAGCAGATGTTTTTAAGACCTTCACTGTACAACACCACACCAGGAAGTTCATACTCTGATTACCAGTGCTGACAGTCACTGCCAGTCCTCTCTCCCCTCTGCCCAGCCTGAAGGCAGCTGGCTTGGAAGTGTCCAGACCTCAAAAAGGTGTGTGCTGCAGTCTAAATATTTGCTTTGGTGACTAAATTTTGCTTGGACTCCCCCCACTGCAGACTGTTAAATGGAAGTTCATAAACAGAAACTGAACATGCTATATCCAGAGTTTAAGGGTAACGGTTCATGTTTCATGCTTTTAATTCCATGGATAACTACGCTTCTACCCCGAGGCAGTGGCTCCACATTAGTAGATATTAGCAGCTTTCCTAGGTAAGCACTATATAAAATGCCAGTATTTCAAAATTACAGAACAGTAGGAGATCCCTTCATTAATAAAACCAGAAGAAATAAGGAATGTTTACAGGATACAGTAAAAAGCAAATTGTTAATTGTCCCATATTTATGGTGTTTTTCCATCTCTTGCCGGAGGAACTAGACAACAAATTATCGTGGTTTTAGAACATAACCTTCCCTTTTTGTAGCTTAAGGGCAGGACTGCTCAGCATTCCTCAATTTGTAATTTTATAATGAATTCAAAAAACCCCAACCTTATTGCAGAACACCCTTTAGGGCTACTAACTACAGAGAGAAAAAAAGCCTTCTTAAAACTCTGCTGCTTCTCCAAACAGATGTGTCTCACCTTACTCTAGACGGAGTTGTACTTACGCCAGTGATTTCCAATAGTTTAAAACCCATCTGCCTCTTCAGGAAGCAGAGGCTGCCTTTTTCTCAAAAGCTGACTTTTCTTCCAAGTCTCTTCACAAAGCAAACTTTGGTAAAGCCATGGACAGCACACAGAGCTCAGCATGGTCCTGTCAAGGGGTGCTCTGCAGACAGAGCACAAAACATCTGGCAGCAGCTGTGGCTGCTGCTGTGATGCTCACGGTGGGACACAGAGAGTTGGTTTTGCTAAAGGTCAGTGTATCCTGTGACTGGCCATCCCTGACATGGCACAAGCCTGAGAAATAACACCTTAGAGACAGGCTGGCTGGGACTTCTTCCTTCTAAAATCTTGATTCTGAGAATCTGGACAGTGCACCTCCCGCACTCTAAAGGAATGAAATTAGTCAAGCGGCTACACCCAGGATTGCCTGAAACACTGCCAGTAGTAGTACACTGCACTGTTTTGGGGTTGGGTTTTTGGGGGGGGCGGGTTGCCTTTTTTTGTTTATTTTGGTTCTTTTTCTTTGGGTTCTTTTTTTTTTTATTTTAATATAGTTAGCATTAGATGAGTTTGGATTCATTTACAACCCAGCAGGCCCAAAACAGCTCAGCTGCAGGGCAGCACAGAGGAGGTTACCAGGTAACTCCTCACATCACCTCATGTCTTCAACGTTCTGCAGGATGCTCAGGTGCTAATTCCCGCTAAGCAAGCATAAGCCTTCTGAGATAAAACTACACAAGTTAGATGGACAGACATTTCAACCACTGACAGCTATACATACCTTGCTATTCTAAGCAGTTAATGGTCTCAGCAGACCTCCTGGAAGCACTTAAAGATAGATAAATCAGATAGTTTACCAGGAGTTTCAGGATTCTTGAACATCCTTAGAAAAAATTAAAAAAAAAAAAAAAAAGAGGCTTTCTGCACATAAAGACCATGACTATTCTAATATTCTAACAAGAGCCCACAGCTTCAAGTGAATTCCTAGGTAACATTTGCCTTTCAGGTCAGTCAGTTTGTTCTTTCAAGTGTCAGACATTAAACACCAGCAGACACCTCGTAGCTACAAGATCCAGCTTGCATCGCACTCAGTCCTACAGGGACTGAGGCCACCTTGATCAATTCTCTTCCATGAAGCACTGAGAAGGAAGACAACACTTGCATCAGGTGAGGCAGGATCACGGAGCTTTAGAAGCTTCTGCAGTCTCTCCCAGTCTATAATTATTTACTGACCATAGGAATAAGATAGATAAATAACTTTTGCTCTCTCACTTGCATGGAAGGTATTTCCTAGTGTGTCTGCTCTTCTGCTAGGCAATTTCCTAAATGATTTTGAAGTACAAGGAAACTCTGAATATGAGTGTCTACTTGAGCCCAAGATGTGGAAGACAGTGGTGGTAGGTCAACTAAAAAATGACCAGATCTCCAAGCTATCTTCTTATTCAAAATTCTGTTTTGCTTTTTTCCTAATACAAGTGATCAACATAATATGGAGCAACTACTAAGGAGCACGAGAAAATAGCTGTTCACTATGAATTACCACTATCTTAAAGGGATTTATTTCAACAAACATAACCACATGTGATGAAAATAAGTGAAAAGTTTGCCTTGCCTAGTTCCAGTAATGCCCAAATCTGTTTTGGAAGTCCTGAAAGTCAGTTTTGAAAGTGTGTATTGTTTTAAAAAAACAAGTATTTCTGCTATGGAAAAAAAATTAATGTATACATTTTTATGTTATGTTTATAACAAGGCTTTTAAAGAAAACAGTTACAGGTATTCAACTGCATCAGACTTCAAAAGAAAAAAGATTACACATACAATACAAAAATACAAAAAAATATTTTTTAGAACTTACAAACTCAAAAGTCTAAGTGGTCAGAGCTTTCCTAAAATAATAATAATAATAATAAAAAAATACACTTCAAGATGCACTTTCCTTTCTGCACTTGCAGGTTCAACTTCAGTATGAAGGTTTTAGAGGCAGGATAAAAGCAATTTGTATATTGAATTCTACAACCAGTTCCTGGCTGAAATTAATTAAGAGATTGACACTATCAGGTATTTGAGTTTAAAAAAAACCCTTATGCTTGTTTGGGGGAGGGGGAACGCAGGTGGCGGTGTTGTCGATAAATTTGTTTAACCAGTTCTGATAGTACAATGTTTTAAAAATATGCAATCTAGATTAGACTAAAATTTAGACAGTCATTACTGAAATCCTACAGCACTGTTCTGCAGTATGAAAGCCAAGAAATTACACTGACCAGAGTAATGTCATGGCTGAAAATCACTGCAAAAGGCAGACAGGCAGGAAAAGGTCAAGTTTTATTTCTGAAGTTGACACTTGTTAGAAGCATTAGGACTGCAGACAGAGTATTCTTTGACCTGATAGCGTCCACTGAGGTCATAGCATCAAGGCATTTTGTTTTAAATGGCAAGACAGGGAAAGTGCATCTTGGATTTTTCATACTTAAGCAGTGAGTTACCGATTTTTGGTGTGGCTTTTATTCCTTCTAGGCATAGTAAAGAAAAATATTTCAACCAAATGTGAAGCTTAATGTACATTAGCTTGTATTTTTGGTGGTGGCTTTCGTCTACCACTAGGAAATGCTAACAAGCACTACTCAAGGCTAATGATTTAAGAGGAGCACACTGAAAATACTGATTTACCTTTGTAGTGAATATTCTTTACAGACTGTATCTAATATACAGACAAGGCCCATTTCCTTAGGACGAAACAGGCCACAGAAGGTTACACATCCTACATGAAGTTTAAAACAAAATTAGAACTAAGTTACCAGAGCCACTCAGAGCAACATAATTCCTACTTTGCAGAGACTTAACAAAAGGTGACTGCAGGGAGAAAAAAAATCCAGGTTCTTATTATTTCCTGTATAGATTATATTCAAATTAATAGTCCAGTAACACTTCTAGCACAAAACAATGCTCTCTCTTTAGCAAAATTCCTAGAAGTCAACTGTTTCTCCTGTTATGAAGAGGGAGCCAGAAGTGAGAATGCACGAGCATTCGATTTTAACCTGATTAAAGAGACAGTAACCTTTTTCATCCACCTTATTTAATCACTGACCAAAAAAAAAATTCTTAAAAAGGTACCACTCCAATTTCTTTATTATCTGTAACCTTTTGAAACTAATCACATGAACTACAAAATTAGCAAATGCCTTGAAATCTGTATACAAAACATAAATTACCTCTAATTTCAAACTAATTCATTAGTGTACCACTCAAAATCTTAAAAAAGTGGCTCCAAAGATAGTCTCATACCATTCTTAAAAAAGGAAACTGTTCCTTTAACGTTACACCCTCCCCTCCCCCCAAACACCCAACTTGTAATCCACATCATTTAGTTATTTTCTTGGTCATGGACATTTCCAAGATGAGATTTTATATTTCGTTCCCATAGCTTCTGGTTGTCAGAAAATCCATGCTTTCCTTTATTGAAGGAATTTGGTCCTGCTGAGGTTGGTGTATCCCTGTGAAAAAGTAAAACAAGAACAGTTAAGAAAGTCAGTTCAACTACAGCAGTCCGTGCAATGTGACACTGAAAACACCAATTACAAGTCCAATCTGCTGCCAGAAACTACCACACGTTTCTTTCTGTTACATCAGGAGTCCTCACTATCAGCAACTGCAATTTGGCCACAGAACTGATCTTTCCACAGCATCTCAAAACAGAGCAATGAGATGGGGCAGCAGGAGGTGGGAGTGGCAGTAACTGCTGCAGCTGTGAAGAAGTCTTCGCAAGGATTAAAAAAACCTGAGGATCCAAATTTGCTACTGGAGAAAAAAAACCCACGAAACTAGAAAACCTCCAGATGGATTAACTTTAAAAGCAGTCTATTGTGATAAACACCTTTAAAACACATATTCTCAAAATTCATCCCTAATTTAAGCAAAGCCTACTCTGAAAAGGTCCCTATTAATTTTAGGATTGGCCCTCTACTCAAATCTGTAGCAAGCAGAAGAACTACATATATTTGTTTAAGTAAACAAATTTTTTTTTCTTTCTGAAAGAGATGATTCGCATCTTCCCCTTGTACAGAAGTTAATAAACCTCACCAGACTGCCCTACTTCAAGACAATTTACAAAACGGAGAACCAGAAAGATATATAGTGGCAAGCAGGAACTCCCACCCATTACCTTTCCAAGAAGAAAACAAGCTTCTATTTAATGCAGAATCAATTTCTTCACCACAAAGAAGGCAAATAAGATTCAGAGTTCAAATGTAAATGTACTACTTTTAACCTACAGACACAACGTTTGAAAATTTTCCCGTTTCCAAGAAAGAAAAATTTCTGAGCCTATTCCATCTTCCTGTATTTCTAAGACATCTGCAAGATCTGACCTGTGCTGGAGGAGGTCAGTGTCGTTCTCACATACTCACCCCTCTCCGAACCACAGCTAGAAGCTGACCTACCTTCCAATGTTCTTCATGCGCATCTTGGCTTCTGGAGGCATTTCTTCTGGTTCACTCTGCAGAGAGAAAGGGGGTTAGAGCATGGCTGGGCACTTGCCTTTGAACATTTCAAATGCCTGACAAGATAAAGGATGGACTCCAGCCCCACAGGAAAGCAAAGTGACTTAGGACAGAACAGAGGTTCTACAAGGTTATAGACCGAAATACAAATTCCTTTTTTTGACCTCTGTGTAAGCAGGAGCAAGATATTTATATGACAAGATATTTAGCAAACCAGAAGCACAACTTTCCTTCACCTCCCCTTTATTAAGCCTGGAAAAAGCAACCATTAATTCAAATTATGTTGTGCATCTCATTTTCAGGGAAAAGTTATCAGCACTTTAATGACTTCTTGAACCAACATAGAGCTACAAAGTTGTACATTCTTAAGCAGAAACACGAGAGATGCTTCTAGGCTGAAAATTCCTGACATTTATGTAGAAAACCTTAAAGAACCCATTCTCTCTGCCTCCCACACCAATGGTATATTATGTTGATCACTAGCTTATTACTCACATCTTCATCTTCATTGAAAGCCGCTGCTACAGAAAGGGTTTTTGGAGCCAGGGTTGGAACAGGCTCTTTAGGCTTCTGAAAAAGACCAAATAAACAAGTAAAGTAAGTCTACTAACTCAAAAAATCTACCCTTGGCCTTTAAAATATTTTGGTAAATGAAGTCAAACATCTTCACTGAAACGGGCAACCAGGGGGAAAAGTTTTTCTTTGAATCAAGCACATAAAGGTTTCTCTAACAAAAAAGGAAAAATGACTGCTTGTTTAAGTATGATACACTGAGCAAGCTCAGCCCTCTCATATTACAGCTCCCCACAAGCAGGTCTTAACTTTCTAGCACACTGCAGGGCTACTCAGCCACTGGTGCATGACATGAACAATTAAAAAGATCCTGAGTAAGTTGTGGTATTCAAAATTTTACTATGTCACTGTTTCCATTATTCTTTTGGAGTATTCTTATCCATCAATGTCAGAAAGATGAATATGTTTATTCTCTGGTATTTTAACATATAACAGCTTTCTGGTTTAATTCAATACTTTCAAACAAGCATCAGTGTGTATCACACAGGCCAATTAATATACAGCTCCTTTAAAAAGTATTATTTTTATTTCCAATAAAAACCTTCCTCTATCTAAAAGTGTAAGAAGCTGTCAAACTCATACCTGTTACAAGTAATACAACAGTGGTACCAAAAGTTGTTTTGACACCACTAAGAGCCAAGTCACCAGTAACAGTTCGCTTCTATAGTACTACCAATTATCTAAACCAATCACATACAGTGCTTTCTCCATTTTCACTTTATTGGTGATTATTTAATATATATTCATAGAAGCTGATACTGCAGCAGAGTCCTTATGCAACTGTCTACAGCTGTTCTTTACCGACAGTGTACAACAGCAAAACACTGTACCATATTTAAAGCATCTGCTCCGCAGGAATGGGTAATGTTCTAAGGGACTAAAAATGACTGGAAAGTAACAGGATAAGTTTCAGCACTGTCCCATCTGGTGCACTGTCAGTCACCCACTAAATGCAGTGAGCCAGAAATCCTGAGCCCAATTTACTGCCACTGCAAGCATCTTCTGACATAAGGAACTGAAGCATGCTGGTGGCTCAGAGAAGGCAGCTCTGTCAATTCTTCCTCAGTCTGACCTGACCTGATTGCATTTATACCCTAGAACGCTGCCAGCCCACATCTCCCATCTCAAAGTAACAGAGCACTCTTTTAATCTTTTGCAGATCTGTAGAATGTTGGCGCTGCAGGTGCAAGCCTTTCATGATTACAGTTTGAATTTAATGCAGACAAAGATTTATAATGTATCCATCACAGTGGTAGGCAGGAAACGTAAATGAACTGTATTAGATGGAGAGGCAGCGCCAGGCTTGTCCTTGCCCAAGCTATAGAGGACTGCTTTTGAAGTAAAGAGACTCACATCAGATTCACATCTAAACAAGCACAAGGATACCTTGTACCGGACAATAAAGGGCATCAGAATTCCTATCAACCTATGTAACGAAGCCTTGTGTCTCGCATAAAGTACAAATGAATCACACTGACCTTGCAAAGCACAGGCAAAGTCATGAAAAATCAACTGTACTTCTCCATCCAGAATAAGATCTTTGGAGTGGAAGACAACCTATTAAGCCATCTGAGAGATGCTTTCTTGTAGCTTTAAGCATCCTATAGCATGAGGCTCCCAGCACTCATTTCAAAGTAGCCTGAGCAGTTTAACAAGTCTGCTCATTTCCCTCAGGAAATTACTCCAGACTTATCAAATCTCATTATGAAATTATTCTCTATGTTCAAAGATCTACAGTTCATTTCAATCAAGTCTTTTGCTTCCTAAGACAACTGACCTGTTATTAATCACCCTGAAGTACTTACACATGCACAACTAGCTGGCCCTGCAATGCTTGCTTAAACTTTATCCAAGTTACCTTCATGGAATTCAAGGTTTCCCTCTGCGAGGAAGCCTCCCCAAAGTGCTACCCTTTTTGCCTCAGTTTCCCTAAAATTAAAAGCCCTCGGGCAACTTACATTTGCTCCTAGTTTGATGGATATTGCAGATGCCTTCTTTGTTGTCTGACTGCCTATGGAAAATCCAAACTTGGACATTTTGGCAGGAGCAGGCTTTGTGGTGAAGTCTTCGGCTTCTTCATTAGCTGCCCGTTTCTCTGCGCTGCGACTCGAACTTTCTCCTCCATTACTGGAAGAAACAGTCTTAGTTTTCACAGGTTTTTCTGCCTCTTCTTCAGGTCCTGGTGAAGTCGAAACAACTTACCAAGATGAGCTACTTTTACTGAGCAGATTGATGGGAGCAGCAACCTCAAAAAGCATTATACTTTGGGTGCAATAGGTAAGGTGTTTTTAGTGACAGCAGTTTCCACCAATGTACATTTAGTGGACAGCAAAACACAAAGAGGAGAAGAAACTGCAAGCACTCCACTACTGGTAAAGAACTTCTTTTGTATGAGCCAGGAAAACAATCTTGAAGCACCATCTCTTTTATTTAGTATGGAAGTCAAAGTTCACGTAGTAAATTACATGTAGATGACTAAATCTTTTTAGGGTTTTAAGTTGCCATAGATAAGCTTTCATAACTGGAATCCCAATTCCAAATCTACAGTAGATAATCTAAGTTAAAATTAATTCTACTAAATTTCTACAAAATCGTGTCCATGCCAGTCTCTAGGCTTGTCTGGCACAACTCTAAAACCATGGGAGTGACTGCAGTGAGGCCGGCTGTCTCAATCATCTTTCAAGTCACTGCTTGTCCGCATCTCATCTGTAATAAATCTGCCAAGCTCTGCTTGAGGAAGGAATCAGCACTAAAAAAACATATATATATTTTTATATATTTTTAACCTTTTCTAGGTTTGTATAAAGTCATGGAAAACACAGCAGCTGAACAGTGAACCACAGATTAAAAAACACTCCAGTAACATTTTCATTCCTACATTATCAGCTTCTTCAGCTACACCAAGAGACAAAGGTGTCCTTGGAAAACTCACACTGAACATAGTAAATGCTTCAGCAAAAAGACACTTCCCTGCTGCTGCAATAAGCAAATCCCTGCAGTAGCAGGAGGAAAAAAAACCCCAACACATATTAGGGAATGGACAGGGAAGTGCTCACAGTAACAGTTTAAGAAAAACTGGAGTTAGCACCAGTTCATCATCATATCAAGTGGAGAACAGGACCTTCGATGCACAGCAAGTTCAGACCATCAGGGAAAAAAGCTAATGGCAAAAAGCTACTAAGTAAGATGGAGCAATGGGAGAGAAAAAAGTCTGAACTGGAGGTCAACAGTATCGTAGCTCTGAAGAAAAAAAAGCAGCAAACAACATCAGGACAGAGGAAATCTAGGGACACCATCTATATACATGTATTTGCTATTTCCCAAATCATAAGCAGCAGAATACACCATTTCAGCAGCATTTCTACCCCACTCTTCCAGCTATCAAGATAAGTGATTGAAACAAAAATAGATTTATTGTTCGCCTTTGGAAATATGGCAGATCACAAAAAATATTTTGTAACTTTAATCAGTTTCACTAGAAATTTGACCCAGAAAGCATAGATATAACAGTGAAAAACCAAAGAGGAAAGAGAAACAATCAAAATTTACACAAGTGACCTTGGGCACTGGTAGCTGCCTTAGCACAGTTTACCAAACAGCAATCTGCAAGACTAGAAGATCTTTACAGCTAGTCCACGGAATCACATTAAACAGAATTCCAAGTCTAGCCTAGGTACACTAGAGAATGTGATTCAAGGGTAGGTAGGAGATTCACTGGCCTTAAAAGTGCTGGAACCATGGGCCTAAAAGTCTTCTTTTTCATAATATACAAAACCCACAGCAGCCCAAATCTCGGGGCACACAGGACCAGTCCAGGTTCTGAAACTAGTGCTAGCTTGAAGCTAATTACACTGAAGCTTACTTCTTTAAGGGAATATTCTCAAATACTGCTAAGCACAAGGTGAAGCCTAACACAACCTACTCACATCTGTTTTCTCATCAAATTTTAAAGAGCATCTCTCTCAAAATTAGCTCCTATCACTGCATTCTGAGTTTTACTTCTACTAGGCTTGATGTAGGATGAACTGCAGAGCTGTAAGGGGCACAGGACAATTGGGAAGGTGGGCAAGGAGCCGCTGTGCTGTTTGATTTCTGCAGAAAACAGAAATGCAGACACATATTAACCATGAAACAGGTCTTTCCCGTGCCAATGCATGCATATATATATATATATTCCAAAACATTAGGGTTTCTTTATTATTTCCTAGAGACGTCAAGAAGATCACACTTCACCTACAGAAAGCACTAGCACTATTTCCAGAACTAGACTGATCAGTGCTGTTTTTGTGGATCACAGAAATAAAAAGCTGTCCTACAGCACAGAGGAGTTTTACTCATGTGTAACAAACCACACGAGTGCACAATTTCCACTCTCCAGGTGGTTGCAGTGACAAGACTGACAGTGCCAGCTGCACAGCATTCCAGGATCTCTTGTCTCCAGGAGTGCGACCACTGGTGGAGGTGGGAACAAACCAGACACAACTAAGTTAATTCTAAAATAAACCCCACTAACCCTGGCAAAAGCTAAAAATTCCAAACTGCTTTCAAAAATCATCAAGTGCTAACTATTCTTCCTTAGGGCCGAGGTACCATAACCCATTAAGACCACGTTGCAGCACACCAAAGAGTACACAGGGCACTAAGGATTACTGATGTACTGATGCTGTCCAGTTACTGCACTACTAATACAAAAAAAAAAAAAAACAAAAAATCAAACCCAAAGGCCCACCAAAAACCAACAGAGAACCAAGAGTCAAGGAACTACCTAAAATCAAGTATTACTGTTCAAATGTCAGTGATTATCAGAAATAACATTCACTGTTGAGGCTGTCCTAACTGGTTTACAAGCCTGATTTAATTTTTCAGCAGATCAAAGAAATGCCCTCCGCCTACAAATATATTTAAGCTGAAAAAAAACCCACCAAAACCCAACTACAACACAAATAGAAACACACCAGGAAAGAAAAGTTTTATGTTTGAAAAGACATTATCCTCTCAACTTTAAATCAAGGGAAGAAAGAAGAAAAGAAACATCCCATTAAAAATTTTTGAATAGTGCAGAAAAGACAAGGCTGTCCAGTCACGATATAAATACTATAAAACCAAACCATAAACTTACAGGTTGCTGCCAAGCAAAAAAACCCCAAGATGCTTAAAAAGGCAATTAAGGAATATTCACTGTACTCATATGTAAAAAAGGTACCACAGCTGCTAAAAGTAAAGCTTTAAGGTGCTGTCTTCATCCTTGCAGGCAGCAACAACCGAATTTCTCTCAAAATACGGCATAAATATCCCGCGTATTTTTAACAGAGAGGAATAGCACATTTGCGTGAGGAAGATGTCACAGTTTTACAAAAGCGCCTGTAAGGCTGAGGACAGCAGGCCCAGACTCGGCCTATCCTCCAGCGCAGCCCCCTCAGGCCCGGGCCGCCCCCTCTCCCCGCAGGGCCGGGCATCGCACGGCCCGGCCCGGGCCCGCCCGGCCGGGGGAGGCACTCCTGGGCCCTCCCCACCCCTGCGGGACCAGCGCGGACCCCATTCCCACCCCACAGCTCCGCGGCGAGAGGCGCTACATGTTCACCTCCTGCGGGCTGCGGCCGCTTCGCCTTCTCCCCCTCGGCTCTGCCGTCCGCCATTTTCCCCCGCCTCCGCCGCCTCCCGCGCCGCGCACGCGCCACGCGCCGGCCCCCCCCCCCCTCCGCGGGGCCCCGCCCCTGCGGCGCGCGGGGACGACACGGCGGGCGCAGATGGGCACCGTTACCCTCCCTTCCCTTCCCTTCCCTCACGGGGAGCGCCAGCCCCCGGCACCGCCCGCTGAGCCGCTGCGTCACGGGCGTGTGGAGGAATCGCGGCCCCTGCCGCGCGTGGTTTAGCGATTACGGTCCGTGTTTCGCCAACATCGTGACCTCGTTACCTCATCAGGGTGTATGAGTATCTATGGGCGGTGGGGGCGGGAGGTGCCAAGAGGATGGAGCCAGGCTCTGCTCGGCGGTGCCAAGCAGTAGGACAGGAGGCAACGGGCAGAAACTGAGGCACAGGAAGTTCCAGCTCAACTTAAGGAAGAACTCCTTTACTGTGCGCGTGAGTGTGCACTGGGACATTGCCCTGAGAGGGTGTGGAGTCTCCCTCACTGCAGATATTCAAGAACCATCGGGACACAATCCTGTGCCACGTGCTGTAGGATGACCCTGCTTGAACAGGGAGGTTGGACCAGATGACCCACGGTGATCCCTCCCAACCAGACCCGTTCTGTGATTCTGTGACTGTAACACGAGCTCAAGTGAGCAGTGACACCATTTCCCCTCCCCAGAGTGCAAACCAGTCACAGAAGAGGCTGTATGGCAAACAGCAAATGACAGGAGGGACATGGTACCCAGCCCGCAGCGGGGTTTTGGAACTTCTTTAAGGCCCCTTCCAGCCCAAACCATTCCATCATTCTATGACACTCAGCAGCTCCATGTTGTCTCTTCCTCCTGTGAAGAAAAAGGGGCTGCCCAAGTGTGGCACAGACACTCACACAGCCCATCCTTGCACCTGAGGGCTTCATAGGGAGCTGAGGACAGCTCTCAAGCAGCACCTGAAACACCACCGTAGGGTGAAGCTTTGTGTACTGCCCAACCATAGACAGCTGAAAGGAACAAGGTCTTTCCGTGAGCCAGGGGTTATCCTGTGCCTCACAGCCAGTGAGAAGCAGTATTGGAGTAAAGAATCTTCTGCTTTCCAATTCCCCCCTCGAAACTATGTGTACCAAGAGGTGAGACAGGGAGTGCACACCAAACCCTGGTATATTTGAAGTCTACTCTGTGAAATTATACTCCCCTCTCCTAGTTTTTTTAATTTTCAGGACCAAACCCACCACCTGCCATCACTGACACCAAGCATCAGGGTAGCTGACTAATTAACAATTTAAGCACCCCTTAAAACCCTTCTCATGCTCCAGACAGAAGGGTCTCTCCTCCTGAAATACTAATAGGACATTTTATCACCTCAAAAGTTCCAGCACTGTGGGAAATTTACATTACATGGCCTGAAAATACAGGCACTCGGGGATAAAAGCTTTTTTTTTTTTTTCACGGTCAAGAAATTCGATTTATTCCTTTCAATCAGGGACTTGATCTGTGCCAGACAGAACATCTAGGAATAAAATGGGCAGCTCCACAAACCCAAGCAAGGTTTTACCCATTTGTTTTTAGTTCAGAAACCAAAAGTCAATGCATCTGCACACCAAAAGAAGATCCAGGAAGTAATGGGGAGGTCTCTTCTACTTCATCTCAGTAATCTTTTAGCTTAAACTATAGATAGCCTCCAACCACTGCAAATCCAAAGCAGGGGGGTGTTCTCCGAAGAACGACCTTTGCATTCAGTTACAATCACCCTTGCCCCAGCATGGTTCAACAGAACAGACTGATATTCTTTGTGCAGAGTATTATCTCATTTCTCTTACATAATTTCAATAATGTGTGCATAAATTTAAACTGCTGGACTACTAAGGTAATTAAAAAAAAGGCAATCCTAACAGCAGTCATTTCAAACTTAAGCAACAAAGACCTGTTTTGAGATAAAGAGCTGAACAGAGTTTTAAATGTCCCAAGAAACTGGAGCATTAAAGGGCACAGTTTGCCTGTAAAAAAAAAGAAAGAATCATTCTCTTTCCCATCACTCTACTTCTGCTTTAGTTTATACTTCTTAGGGTAGTTCTTGGCAAATTGCTTTTGTACTTCTTCCCGTCTCATTCCAAGTTTAAGTGTGTTCACCAGGTCTAAGGTTTTTTTCAGTTCACTTACAGGCTTGGTCACAAAGCCACGATATTTCCTTTTCGGAACAAACTCCAGAGCCTTCTTCCAGTCAGCAGTATCTTTCAAGGTTAATAAAATTTGCATCATTTGATCCAGTGTAAGATTTTTGGCACCGGTATTCCAAACCAAGTATTTATCCAGCGGAAGGGCTGCAGTCTCCAATCCCAGTCGCTTTGCCCGTGCTAAAGAGACTCCTGTTTTTATGCTCTTGTCAACCATCGACCCAACAATATAGATTTTATTGTGATCAAATGTTTTCATCACTTTGGGAGAATCAGCTGTCAGATAGATGAGCTTATCCTTTGGAAAGACTTCTGTGTAGCACTGCTCTGTCACAGTGATAAGCAGCTTGCCCCATGCCTCTTTATAATGCTTAAGAAATTCCCTATGATAGAGGCTATCATCCTTGAAGTTACAGAAGTGGATGTGGAACGGATCCACAGCCCTCCGATTGCAGCCTTCACTCTGGACCAACTGTTTCACTGCGTTTGCAAGTTCTCGGACAGACATTTCTTTTTCGTAAGACATGTCAAATACCAGAGGCTGGCCAAAGATCATGGACTGAGCAGCCCTCCAATTGTAGGCTTTATCCATAGTGCTGGCCCACAAACATAAAAATGGACTCTTTTTGGTCTCATCCGTTTTTGAAGTTTGCTCTTGTAGTTCCAGCTTCCTTTCCCTTTTCTCTTCCATCTTTCTTTTGTCATTTTTCTTGTAAAATTCTTTGAGATACAAAAACTTTAAATACTTCTTTTTGGCTGACTTGGAAGGACACTCCATAAACGTTTTTAGCTGTTCTTCACTGACATTTTCTGGAACTAATTTGCCAGCTATTCTCCACATCTCCAAAGTCTCACGTGCAGCAGCCAAACCGGAAAGCTCCTGAGGCTCAGAGACCGTCTCACTGACCTCTTCTTGCAACCCAGACTTCATTACCTTCTTCCAGGCATCTAAATCTAGTTTTTCTGAGGGTTTGCATGAGTTGTCCTGCTTCAGACAAAGTGATAAACTCAGAGTTCTACTGAGTGGAAACAAATCCCTTTTCATCCCATGTTGTGCAGCAACTGGAAGGACAGAACTTCTTACTATTTTTTTCAGAAGCATATTAGCAGACTGCATACTTAGACAAGTGCTGTGTTCAAACACTTATCTGCAAAACACCAATAAGAGGGAAAAACAACTTGTCACAAATCACAAAGAAAACACGCACTAATTTTTATTCTTAGTAACACAGACAATAGCTCAATTCTTGGAGAATACTAGAAATTCCTACTTCCACTACTACTTTTTTAACTGTTTCCTAAATAAAAACAGTATGTGTGGCACTGCTGCATAAAACAGCTATACTTACTGCAATTCAAAATGTGGTCAAACAACCTCCAAGTACTGTCCAAGATCTGTACCAAGTTTTCTGTACCATATGATGAGTAGGAGCCTTTTCAACCAAAGTCAGTGAAATGCTGCATGGACACCGGAAATATTTTTATACACCAAATTTATCTATGCTGTGAAAAGAGAAAAAAGAGATGGAAGAATAAACAACCAGTATATGAAAGGGCCATCTTTTTTCTTTTTACTAAACTGCCCGTGAAGTTGGTATTGGCACATAAAGCTAAGGAGATAAACCCCACAGCCCCATTAATTTCATACGCATTTGTATTTAAATGTGAAAGGTCTGCAGAAAAAAAACACCCAAGAATGTTTAATATTTTCTTTGTCCTATGCACACTACAGAACTAAAATCAGTGAAGTTTCAATGCTTGAGAAAACGTGATTTGGTCAAAACTAAAATTAGCTCCAAATTTTGAAAACAAAATTCATGATCTCCCTAATAACCTGAAAATAATTTGATGTACAGAAGAAGTTAAATCTAATGTTGGGGTTATATATATGTACCTGCTCAGATGAGGCACAGAAAGAGTATTAAGAAATGTGTATTAAGAAATGTGACATAACCTGGCCTGCTTTTACTATACAGTAACTGGTCAAACTGGTGACCAACTTCTCATTTTCTACTGTTCTTAAGATAAAAGGAACAAAAACAACCAAACAACCTAACAAGGTGAAAGTTGAGAAGTGTTACTATAGAGGTGTTCCTAATTTTACATTTCACCATTAAACCTACTGGCAAAAGTAATAATCAAAGTATATTGTCCAGCTTGGAGAAATCAAGGGATAAGTTCCTCAATTAAATTATATTACTGGAGCTTCAATTAAATCAATATTTGAACACCAGATTTACACAATCAAAACACTTGGTGACAGCTTTTGATAGAGCCAAGTTACCTTCCAGTGTGTCCAACATTCCCACTAACATCATTACTGTAAGACTTAATCTAAACCTCTTTTAAGAACTTAGATTTGTAGCACATAAAAGTTGTTTTTTTTTTTTAGCATGGCTTCACCATAACTAATCTCAGGCGCGGAAAGACCCTTTACTGATACTTCAGAGACTGAATAACTCTTCTTACTTCCCCAGCACAGCTGCACACACACTGAATCACAGTCTGGAACAGGTTGGAAGGGACCACTGTGGGTCATCTGGTCCAACCTCCCTGCTCAGGCAGGGTCATCCCAGAGCACGTAGCACAGGATTGTGTCCGGATAGTTCTGGAGTATCTCCAGTGAGG